AGTTATCCTGGCATGCTAACGTTTCCGACGTTACTATACAGGGAAACTTTGCAATCAGTATCCAAATTTTCAGGAGCGACTAAGAATCAGTAACTTAATCGATTTATGTAAAGAAAACAATACATTTTTTTTATATTTAATTATTTTTATCCGCTGCGCGCGGTTTCAAAACTAGATAAATAGCTTCGTTCATATAAAAATACGCAGGTACACACTACAAAGCTTAATAGACATAATGGTTCGCGAAAATACGCCTTAACCTTTAAAAATTAAGCTATGCACCCGCGACTTAGATTTTCAATATTTTTTTTCGCGAAAAATACCACGGTTCGCGATAATTAAGATAAAATTGTATTGTTAATTGTTCTATAGAGTTTATTTAAAAAAAAATTGATACTGATTACAAAATCACCCTGTATTTATCTGTAAAAACGTAGACACCGTCGGCGTGACTTATACGTAGATAAGAAGGGCAATAAAATGGTAACAATCAATTATTTTTTCAGTGCCTAGAGAATAGTGCATAAAAACAAAAGAATAACGTGGCTGCCTGAACTGAAACTGTCTTTTGTTTAATTAATGTTTGAGTGCGTAAATTGTAGTAAAAAACAAAAGTGTAGCCTCAGATTTACCAGATAATACAAGTGAAGTTCTCCCAAGCTTTCTCCAAGGTTTGTAAATTTCTCATTTCTGTCCGAGATGAAATCCTGATGAATTTCACAACTGAGCCGTTGTATAATGTGTGGTGTTGGAAAGACAACATTTCAAGCTTAACTCGTTTGCGATTAGTTTTGCATGGGAATTGCCTTTGCGGCAGTAAGTTTGACGTATATTTTAGCTTATTTTGTGAGTTGTGATGTCGTGGAGTTTCTGACAAAAAAGTTTTCAATCGTCCATATCGACTATTAAGGCCAGCTCGCACTAAGCGTTTCGAAAACTATTTTATAATGCAAACAGCTAGGGACTGGAATTCGCTGCTTGCTGCTGTCTTTTCCGAATACTATCCGGGCCTTTTCAAGGCGGGAGGGAGTGAATAGGCACTTACAGGGCAGATGTGTACCATCCTAGACTGCATCTCACTTAACACCAGGTGCAATTGCGGTCAAAAACCTGCCTTGTTTATGCATAAAAAAGACAATATCTAACGGTGTAGGATGTCAGACTGGCCGACTCCGATTCTGAGGCCTCAGCCTCGAAGTTAGCGGGCAGCGGGGCGGGAGCGGCGGCGGCGCTGGAGCGGGGCGGGCAACGCAGACCCGTTCTCGAAACAAGCGGGCAGCTCGCGCGGCGCTTTAGCGGCGAAGTGTTGTGTTCGGGGTTGTGTTGTCGAGATATTTGTTTTTATTCGCAAACGAAATGTCTGAACAACGGCGACAATTTTATTTCGATTCAAATTTATTCCTAACGCTCGATTTATTATGGGCAAAAGATGGAGTGCGCTGCCAGCTCGTTGCACGCTCCCTCGCCGCTGCCCGCTCGTTGCCCGCTGCCGCGCCGCTGTTTTCGAGAACCGGTCTATTTGATTTTACGCATAAGATCCTGCCGCTCCCGCGCCGCCGCCGCCGCCGCACGGTGGGCTGATATTAGAGCTTCATAGACTTAGCGTCGCTCAAAAAAAATTTGGCAGTTATTTCATTTTTTTCTTTTTTTTATTTTAAAGTCCAAAATGACAATGTTCCGAAGATTTCCGAAATGCGACACTTGGTGATAACATAGCTTATATGTTGCATTACATAATACAAAAGTCAATTTCTTAAGAAAGCTTAAGAATAACGAATAAAATAAAAATAAATGTTGAGCTCCATACAAAAAAAAAGGAAATTTTCAATAACTTATTAAATAATAACTTTATCAAGAAACGTTACATAACATAAAATATTCCTTTTTGGTAAAGGAACACATTGGCATATTTATTTTTTCAAAATAAGGCACTTGATTTTTGAGCGACGCTAAGTCTATGAAGCTCTAATATCAGCCCACCGTGCGCCGCCCCGCTGCCCGCTAAGTTCGAGGCTGAGGCCTGAGGGAATCAGGTTCTGAGGAACGCGGGTTCGATCCCCGCCGTCGCTGGACGATTGCATTAAACCACTGAATAGATGTTAACGGAGTTATTTAAAAAAAAAACAGGAGTATAACTTCAGTTCCTTAGTATGTATGCGTTTTAAGCTATTTACTACCATATAATTGATTTACCACCTACCTAGAAATAGATAAGTACGTTACAAAAATCTTTTGTTTCGCTTTGGCAAGTATCTCAGATTTGATTTCATTTCCAAAATCTTCATATAGTAAAATGTATTTAAATGTATGTACCTATTTACTAACAAACTTACGAGGTAATGCATACATACTTGTATGCAGTTCCTAAAATACCAACAAAGTATTTTTCTCTTCAGATAGCTGACAAGGGCGTAACGTGTGTTGTGTTAAGATTTGTTTTTCCAATGCTAAATTCACTTTCAGATAAAACTATTAAAAATAACCTGTAATAAGTGATGTTCTTGCAGTGATAATGAGCGATAGCTGGGTCATTTTCTTCTTATACTGTACTTGACAAGAAGTTATGTCGCCAATTTTAGGCAAGAATACTATACATTTTAACAAGCTTGTGGTATGTTTATACAGTCATCGTCAAAAATAGTTCGTGATATCCAAATGTGGCCAAAAAGATGACCACACAACCTTATTCCTATTACTACTAAGAAAGTAGTCGAACTTTTTGGCTACTTTTGGTGTCACGAAATATTTGACCCTGACTGTACATAATTTATGAACCTACAATTTTAGGCTCTCTTAATGTAAAAATGACCAAAAAGTTTAGTAGTTAATTAGCCAATTTACAAAGCTTCAAGTACCTACATCGGTTTTTCTGTGACAAACTGAATTTCACAAAAACAAACTCGGGGCAAAATTTAGTATTACTAATAAGATTTTTTTTCCATATCGTTTTCTTAAAATGTTAGTTTTCAATTTCATGAAACACAAAAGTGATGCGAAGTTGCAGCAAAGGATCTTGTAGGATTGCGCAACCATCTAATTTTAATATCGATAGTCGAATTGGAGAGGGCTATGCTTGGTGTTTCTTTGCGAGATCGAATCAGAAATGAGGAGATCCGTAAACGAACCAAAGTCGCTGACATAGCCCGACGGATTAGCAAGCTGAAGTGGCAATGGGCAGGGCACATAGTACGCAGAACTGACGGCCGATGGGGCAGAAAGGTTCTGGAATGGATGCCGCGTACCGGAAAACGCAGCGTGGGACGTCCACTTACAAGGTGGACCGACGACATCGTAAAGGTAGCAGAGAAGCGCTGGACGCAGGCCGCTACCAATCGATCAACATGGAAAGCATTGGGGGAGGCCTATGTTCAGCAGTGGACGTCCTGTGCCTGAAATGATGATGATGATGAGTCGAATTGAATCGTAGTTGACTGTATCGATGATAAAAAAGTTTAAATAAATAAAATAAAAACGTTAAAAAGTAGAATTTGTAAAAGTAGACAAACATCGATAGTTTTCACATATGCTCATTTTTATGTTATATGTTTTCATCCCCATCAGATGTGTCAAATTTACAACAACTACAGATTAACGAGAGTTCTTCTATGACTCTGGCAGTAGGTAATTGCTGATTTAGGAAATGACTATTCCGTGGGGAACAATGGATTTTGACATGAACTTTTTAAGTCGACTTAGGGAAAAGACTATTTCTTAGGGCTTTTGCAGATAAGTTAAAAAAAATATTGACATCGTGGTTAAATATAATGAAAATAATTTGACAGCGTTTATTTAAGAAACACTGTGCTGTTTTCAACTGAAATATTAAACTCGTTTTTTTATTTTAAAGAAAGTAGGTACCTACTATAAACAAATCAATACCAAAACAGTTGCAACCTGCGACTGCGAAGTTCGCTACACACAGTTCTAAAGAATCACTCTGTCTTTGAAACTCAGATGTTTCTGTTCATGCAACATTCTATTGAGAGAGCGAGATTTACGACTATAACTAGTTTTCTTAAAGTGCAATTTGTTTTCGATTGCCTTCTTCGAAAGTATTGCATTGTGCTGTACAAAGAGTGTGTTGTTATTTAAAAAGTAAAATCGGTTTGTGTAATGGAAACAAGCTTATCAAAAATAATTTTACCATAATCAATTTGATTTTGAGATTTGGTGATTATGATGATTATGATTGAGAAATAGACATGCAATAAATAATGACACTCGTGAAATCACCTACTTATTTGTTTCATAATGTTTAAGGGGTTAATAATTTGCTAGATATGCTAAAATGATGACATCAAAATAATCTGAATAATTTCAGAATACATGCACTCATTTATTTATTATTTACTAGCTTTCCGCCCGCGGCTTCGCCCGCGTGGAATTTTGTCTGTCACAGAAAAACTTTATCGCGCGCGTCCCTGTTTCAAAAACCGGGATAAAAACTATCCTATGTTCTTTCCCGGGACTCAAACTATCTCTATGCCAAATTTCATCAAAATCGGTTGCGAGGTTTAAGCGGGAAAACGTAACAGACAGACAGACAGACAGAGTTACTTTCGCATTTATATATTACTAGCTTTCCGCCCACGGCTTCGCCCGCGTGGAATTTTGTCTGTCACAGAAAAACTTTATCGCGCGCGTCCCTGTTTCAAAAATCGGGATAAAAACTATCCTATGTTCTTTCCCGGGACTCAAACTATCTCTATGCCAAATTTCATCAAAATCGGTTGCGAGGTTTAAGCGGGAAAGCGTAACAGACAGACAGACAGACAGACAGACAGAGTTACTTTCGCATTTATAATATTAGTTGGGATTACAGTTACAGTTATTACAGTTATTATTACATTATAACATTACAGGTTACCCCAATACGATTCATATTATCTTCAACTCAGTATTGCAGAGTTATAATTATATCGAACATGTTTACTCCATACTAACAGCTGCGGTGATTATTTACGTCTATCTTTTGCTAATATTTGAATTGTTATCAAGATGTCATTACGGTATCCTCAGTTGCACAAGATCCCTCATACTCATCTTATGCATCAACAATGGTACTGGTCGAAGAAGTACCTTTGAAGCCTAAAGCCAATCCGCCAAAGAAAAAAAGTTTAAGGGAGAAAATACAACACGTCAAGGAGAATATAACTTTGGAGCCTACTCTAGCATGTTACGTCATACCAAACGTTCTTTCGAGACTGGCAACACAGAATTTGAATTTGGATAAAGCATGCCGAGTGAATATGAACTATACGGACGAGGTGTGCGACGCCCTCCTCGTCAGAAATGGAACTGAATACTTGGAGGAGGAGACATCAGTCCAAGAACTGGTAGCAGGAATGGAGAGCTGGAAGAATGTGCTTTTGACAGTGATCCCCAGTTTTCTGATACTGTTCTTGGGAGCTTGGAGTGATCGGACAGGGAAGCGAAAGATATGCATTCTGCTGCCGATTATTGGGGAGTTGCTGGTCTGTCTGAGCAATATGCTGAACGTGTATTACTTTAAAGAAGTGCCTGCTCAGGTGGCTGTGTTTTTCGAGGCGTTTTTCCCTGCTATAACTGGCGGATGGATAACGACGTATATGGGGGCCTTTAGTTACATCAGCGATGTGTCCAAAGAGGAGTCCAGGACATTCAGAGTGGGTGTAGCGAACCTGTGCCTTACTGCTGGAGGGCCCATAGGGTCCGCATTAAGTGGCATCCTGTTGAAGCACATAGGGTACTATGGAGTATTCAGTTTAAGTTCTGGGCTGTATCTGTTCAGTATCAGCTATGGTTTCATAAATATTAAGGACCCAGAGCGACCAGTGCCGGAGAAAAATGAAAAGGTAACAATTTATTTTACTTGTATATTACAAATACTTCAACGCACATAAGATAGGTGCTAACTCGTACATTATTTTTTTAATTTATAAATTCAAAAACGAATCTTCTTGATATTAGAGCGCCACTGCACACGCTAACTATTCATATCAAAATGTCATGACCTACATTAATTACCTTACCTACGTCTCTGATAAGTTAAGGTGCTATTGTCTAACATTGCAAAACAATATCAATTTGAAACATGAATGTGAAAACAATAATAGTAACGTTACAAAGTTAACACGTTTCAATACTTAAACATAAGCTGTAAAAATGAAGTAGGTACTTATGTCTGTAACATACAGCAAAATGTCTTTATTACCTCCACAAATCGTTCGAATTTTTATCGTTCATCCGTAGAATATTTACTTGTGAGCCTGACATTCATTGTACGTAATTACAGAGGGAATCCTCCGGCGTATACGGATTCCTGCAATCCTTTTTTGACGTGAAACACGTTAAGGACACTCTCCAAGTCACGTTCAAAAAGGGCCCGAATCACCGGAGAACAAAGTCCATTTTGGTGTTGGCGGCCATCGCGTTTATATATGGGCCGGCTTACGGTATGTATGGTTTATCCTGATCCTAGATGATATTAATAAGAAAGGATGTATGTTTGCTACTAAATGTTTGCGACCGTTGATCTATGTAAACAGGACGGATAAACCTAGGGATCGTAACGCAATCCTCTCGGACGGAGCTCAGGGGATTAAGTATACAATAAAATTGCTAGAAATTAAATTTAAAATTTAAGCTGCTTTTTTGTCAAATGCTCAGAAGAAGCTTCTATTATCTATGAGTAAGCTGATTACGTGATTAAGGGCTGATTTTTCAATCGTCAGATAACATTTATCTGAAGAATAAACTTGTCATTTTGACATATTTCCCATACTGAAACTGTTAAAGTGCCAAACTTAACCCATATATGCCCAGAGGCACGAAAACGACCCAATGGTACATGTTCTCTTGCGATGCCAATTACAAAAAAACTGTACGTTTGTTTTCTGTTTTAGCGCTATAAATATAATGTTGAAAGAACTTCCTAATGAAATTTAACAGTTACTAAGTTCGTACGCAGCCACTTTTTTTAGAATTTGAAATTGAATTTCACAGATTTTTTTGTTGTTGAAATTAGTGCACCCAGTCTTACAAAAATCTAAATATTCTTTTATGTTTTCTTTTTTAAACGATTATTGCGATTGAAATATTGAAATGAATATATTTCCAAGGTAAGTAACTAAGAAGTGTTATGAAAATATAAATATGTGCTTTGTTATTTTTTGCAAAAGTTGTGTTGGTCGAAAACGACCGCATGGGCATATATTGGACCAGAATGTAGATTTTCATAGTATAAAGTATTTAAAATAAAAGTCGTGTTTATTACACAATTAGTTTATAATTTCATCAAATTATAGCAAATAGTGTAAAATAATGTTATTTGGTTAATTTAGGACCTTGAATAATTACACAGTTAGTACAATTTAGGCACGAAATTCTGCAAAACACTTGTTTGTTTTTGCATAAAGCACAATTCCTACGATTCTGACTGGTGAGGATCAAATGCTCAACACCATACAGCCTTTTAGAGGTATATTAGAGGGCACTGGGCGTGTTGAAGGTCCAGGCTGAGTTCGAAGAGATCCATTTGTAAGAAGCGAATTTCTAGTAATTTACCTTCGAAACTTCAAAGTGTCTACAGATGCTCCAAGGGATCTCGCTATTATGGCAAAGTTATTGATGGGAAGGAAAAAAATTATTCTAATGTTTTTGACATGGTTGATTGATGTCACCGTCAATAACAACTCTGGAGTTTCGAAGGTCAATTGCTAGAAATTTGCGTCCAAAATATAGATATCCTTGAACTCAGCCTGGACCTTCAACATGCCCAGTGCCGTCTAATATACCACTAAGTGTAAGGCGATATGGTGCTGAGCATTTGATTGATCCTCACCGGTCAGATTCGTAGAAATTGTGCAGTATGCAAACACATAACTGTGAAGAAATGCAGCAAGTGTAGTGTAAATCTCCATGACAAATGTTTTGCGGCTTAAATTGTACTAACTGTATTATTATTCAAGCTCCTAAATAAACCAAATATGATTATTATACACTATTTGCTATATTCTGTTCAAATTTGTAAACTAATTATATAATAAATACGACTATTATTTGAAAATACTTTATACTATGAACACCTACATTCTAGTCTCATATATGCCCAGGCGGTCGTTTTCGACCGACTGAAAAAAAAATAGTTCCAAATCCTGAAATCCAAAAACTCATCTTGGTTCATGATTATGGGCCTAAATAGAGTAAATATGCCAATATACATAAAAATCTGGGACCTAAATAGTTCTGGGCATATATGGGTTAAAAGTTAACCGACGGTTGAAAAATCAGCTACAAGTTAAAAAATGAGAAATTTCATTTTACATTTTATTTCTTTGCCAAAATACTTTTACAAACATAGGCCCTATTTCTTACCTTGCAAAGTATCCACGTTTGACATGCCATTTTCCCGCATTGAGCTCCTTTTAAAAATGTCCCCGGTTTCGAATTTCTGATACGTCACTTAGTCGTCTGACAGACTATGAATTTCTCTTTACAGGTGAATTCACCTCGCGATATCTGTTCACGCGATACCGCTTCAACTGGGACGCGCTGAAATACAGTTTCTACAATACATTCTACATCTGCGTGCACTTTTTGGGTATTGTCATAATGTTTTATCAGATAAAATAACTAAATATTAGATTACACGACTTTTTCAGCTTTGGTGAGACCTCCACGGCTTTTAAAGCAAAAGAAGGAGTGCAGACTCTTTCAATTAATTCTGAGTTCGATTCCCATGGGACAGTCTTACTTGGAATTATTTAGTGGTGTAGAATTCGATTATCGACTTATATAGAGTAATAAATTACTTTTGAACTGACTATTAGGGCCCTCGCCGACGGCGATTTTTTGTAGTGAAGCTGTCGCGCATGTCGTAAACGCGCGACAGCATCGCTACTAATGCGCGTTAGTCGCATTTGCAACGCACTACATAACCGATGCCAACGCGCTACTAACGCGCTACAGCTGCGTGACTGTATCGATGCAAACGCGTGACATCGGCGAGAGAACGGAGGGAGAGTTACTGAATAGCGTTTGCATCACGACAGAAGCGCGACAGTATTGCGTTTGCATCGCGACTGAAGCGCGTTTATGTGGGTGAGTGCACATAGCTTGCGACTGTCTGTAACTGTGTAATATTGTCACCCTGTATTACTGTGTTTTTAGCAAATAAACGTTTTGAATTTGAATTTGATTGTATCGATGCGAACGCGCGAGAAAATCGCTATTGCATCGCTACAAAAAGTCGGCGTGGGCGAGGGGCCTTATGGTCCAAAACTGATTATCGAGTTGAAGTTAAAGACAGTTGACTCTGTCTTAAGTTAATGGACTGTATCTTAAAATCTTAGACCAGTGTACCTACCATGAGTTTACGTTAGGTGTGCTCGCTAGCGAGAACGTCAAAAATCTCTATGAAGATTTTGTTTCTTGAAAGTAGCCGCTAGGGGCGCTGCACAATATGTCATTCAATTAATATAATTTTTTTACGCAGTCGCTAGCGAGCACACCTAACGTAAACTCATGGTAGGCACACTGGTACTTCTGCTTAGCGTTGGACTTAATTTTTCAGGTGCGCTCATTTCAATAAGCCTATTCAGTAGGCGTCTAAAGTGGCACGATGCGACATTGGGGCTCATTTCCAACACGAGCAAGATTGTCGGAGCACTGGCCACTGGGTTCGCCAGGAATACCCTAGAAATGTATCTAGGTAAAGCGTCAATAAATAACCTACCTTCAACGATTTGAGTTAGTTTTGCGAAACTGGCTTTAAGTCCTTAAATTAGTTATCAGAAGATTAAAGCTTCAACCACACCAATGCCTGCTGATCGCCATCGCCAGCGCGATCGTAGGCCAATAGACTAAGATCTAATGAACGCCAGACCTACGTCATTTTATAAAAGCCGAAAGTTTGTCAGCGTTTGCTCCCAATATAGGATAGAATGTTGGTGAATCATGAAGTTTAGGTCATCGTGGCTTTGGCAGCTATCCTAAAAAAACTGTCTGGCAAGGAGTTGGAACCGTCAAAACGGTCTGGCTGATGAGAAAACTACTTCTAATTATTGGCCTAATATTTTATATAAAAATCAGCTTTTATGCTATAACGTAAGCCTAATTTTTACGGTGGCTTTTTCTGAATATTCAATAGACTGTAATTCTACTTACGTTATACCATAAATCTGATTTTTATGTATGCCAGACAGTTTTGAAAGTTCTAACTCCTTGCCAGACAGTTTTTTTAGGATAGTTGCCATAGATACGATGACCCAAACTTCATGATTCACCAACATTCTATCCTATATTTGGAGCATATTACGCTGACAAACTTTAAGCTTTTATAAAATGACGTACGTCTGGCGTTCACCAGCTCTTGTCTACAATGACAGGTCGCGCGACCCATGACAGTTGGCGCGATGGCGATTTGCACGCGTTGGTCTGGTTGAAGCATTTAGTAAAGCAGTCTTCTTAATGCTTCTCTTCTTCTTCTTCTTCTAACTACAAAGGAAATCAATTATTAAGCAAACAAAGTCTTTCCATTTTTTTTTTCCAAACGTGTTTAATGTTTGGCTTTCAAGTAAAAAAACAATGATATCTCTAGTATCTATATTGCGCTCAGATTAAGGATCACATACGTTGTCTCATTTTCAGATTTAGGAAAACAAAATGTCTCAATTAATGACTTGCATAATGTTATAAAATGCTATAAATGCCGACGACCTCATAAAGGTAGCAGGAAGGCGCTGCGCTGGATGCTGGTCGCCACCAACCGGCTATTGTGGAAATCATTGGGAGAGGCCTATGTTCAGCGGTCGACGTCCTATGGCTGAAATGATGATGATGATGATCAAGAAGTACCTATATTGCGGACCTATTAGTATCTATTTAGGGGCTATTTTTGACGTTCATAAGTGCCTTTGAAACGCACATTTCGCTTCAACTGATCACGTCCCGTATCAACATACTGAACCTAAATTTATCTTGCAGCGGTCGCCGTCGAGATGTTTAACGCCACATCCTTCACGGCTCTGAGATCGATCTCATCTAAATTAGTTTCGAGCGATGAGCTTGGTAAGTTATCACTTAAACTCAAACTCGTGTGAATTGCAACCTTATCACTGGGGAATATGCATGATTTTGAATTTTCTCTTCGAGAGCAGATTTTTCAATCGCCGCATAACTTTTATCTGCCGGCTATATTAATATTCGTGTTCAGAATATAATTATATTCGAATATCTATTGATTCTATTCTTTATTACTGAAAGCTGCTTGAGTGAAAATCGGAAAATTGACCCTTACGTAACATATCACCTGAAATGATTTTAGTAAAAATAAATAATATCTTTGTGTTCACTTGGTTTGCGGTTTTGAAAACAAAAACATGTAGACAAAAGTCTATAATTGTTTTTTTCTTTGCTTTTTGCACCACCTTATTTAAACCGTAACAATAATATTTTTGTAAGGACAAAAAGCACTGGTTATTGTAAGTTTTTAACGTTTGTCAAAGTTAAAGTAAGATGGTACAACCCAGCCTAAGATATACCTAATTACCTAGTATGTTAAAGTCTGTCAAACTGTAATATGAGATATTATAACAGTTTTCATTGTTACTTGTTACATTTACAGGAAAAATGACAGCAGTTTTCAACCTAATGGAAGTCCTGACATCCATGACGTTCGGTCCAATCTACTCGTGGATATACATGAAGACCCTCAAGATAGACGCGGGGATCATGTTCTACGTCAGCACAGTACTCACTGTTCCACCGATACTAATATTTTCGTAAGTATAAATAAGGTTATGTTACTTTATTTCAACAACATCAGCGGGGTTACTCCGAATAACGTTGTCCTAAGTTACGAATGTTGCTATCCCTCTCACGCAAAGCCAATTATAAGTATGAACGATGGTGACACATAGACCTGAAACTACGTAAATAGCGTTTGAGAATAGCCGCTACAGGCCTCCCCAACTAGGGTTGCCAGGTCCAAAAACACATAAGCCGGACTCGGTGCTTAATTTGGTCGGACATTTAACCCTAAAAGCCGGTTTAGTATCAAAGCTCATTCCATCTTCGAATCGGTAACCCAACACCCTGATGTTAATATTTGGCCGGACAAGTCCCTAAAAAGCCAAACATGTCCGGCTGAAGCCGGACACCTTGGCAACCTTATTTCCAACCCGTCTGGTCAGCCCATCGTGGGGGATATACCTAGGTCAAATCCTCCATTTTCCTCTCGTAAATTAAAGCAGGTCGTTCTCTTGCATTGGAGATGACCTGATGATGGTGGTAAGGGATCCGTACTCAAAAAGTGCCTCTAAGGCTCACTTGCACCATCTTACAACTAGGTATAACAAACGTCAGTAATCTGTCAAACTCCATACAAAAATACACCGATTATTGTTGTAGTTACGGTTAAAGTAAGTTAGTGGAACTCATCCATAATATGTCTGACAGCGGGCTGTATCGCATAAACCTAAATAAAAGTTTAAATCACACATTACCTCTATAGCAAAAAAAATAAAACCGACTCCAAAAAACCTACATTAAAAAGCAGAAAAATAATTACTAATAACCTACTTATTTATTAGGACGAATTAATATTTATGTAGGTATACCATGATTGATACTTCTGGAGTCGGTGCCAAGATTATGAAACATGTAAAGTTTGCCTGCACCGACTCCAAAAGTATCAATCATGGTATACCTACATAAATATTAATTCGTCCTAATAAATAAGTAGGTTATTAGTAATTATTTTTCTGCTTTTTAATGTAGGTTTTTTGGAGTCGGTTTAATTTTTTTTTATAAAATTTTACTTATTTATTGCTTTTTAGTTAACTAATTATTACCTTGATGTTACCACTGAAGGTAGGCAGTACATTGAGACCATACTCTTCATGTCTAGTGTAAAATAATATTCCCTACAAAATTCAGGTTACCATATAGGAAACCTAAAAAGACCTTAAACCGTCAGCCCACCTTAAAAACATGAAAGAATACAACTGTTGGTCTATTTGTACTTATAATATTTAAAGAATTATCCTCCAACTCCTAAGCATTAAGGAGTTTTACCTTCTATCATCAGCTCATCAATATGAGATGATGATTTCCAGGAGCAAATATATGAATGACTTAAGAAAAAGTTTGAAAAACGATATACGTGCCTATAAAATTTGAGGGTTGCTCTCGATTTCCCTAGGATCCCATCATCAGATCCTGACTTGGTGACAATGGGACCACCTCAGAAGTGTACCCTATCGAACAAAAAAAGAATTTTGAAAATCGGTTCATAATTGGCGCAGTTATCGCGTAACAAACATAGAAAAAAAAAAACATACGGGTCGAATTGAGAACCTCCTCCTTTTTTTGAAGTCGGTTGAAAATTGCAGTAAAATTATGTAAATGGCATAATTATTGCATAATAGTTTCGCTTGATGTGTTAATCTCAACCTAAAATTGAACTTGATTTTTTATCTCTGTAGTCATATTAGATAAGAAAAGAAAGGTTAGTGAAATTTATTTAAGTACGCATTTTCATACTTTAATTATGTGTTTGCTGATGGCTTTATAAGTCGCTGTCAAAAAGTAGTTAATTAATAAAATTAACTTTAATTTTTACATTACTATTATCAATAAATTAACTCAATTACAGATGGTTCTATCTCCAAAGAAAGAAAAGACCCAAAGAAGATGCTGAAAACCCAGCCAGCGACAAAGAAGCGCACTGCAGGAAGAATTCTTTGCTTAGCAGCATTGAATGTGCTGAAGAAAAACTACCTGTGTGATACTATAATAGTTGTCGTTTCAGCCGAATGACGTTCACTGCTGGACAAAGACCTCCCCCAAGGATTTCCACAAAGACCGGTCCTGCACCGCTCCCATCCAGGCAACTCCACGACCTTCACCAGATCGTCGGCCCACCTAGTGGGAGGCCTGCCCAGCCCGTGGTCGCCACTCGAGAACTTTTCTGCCCCAGCGGCCATCAGCTCTACTAGCTATGTACCCCGCCCACTGCCACTTGATTTTAGCGATTCTGCGGGCTACGTCGGGATGTTAGCTATTAGAATCTGATTTGTATTAATATAAATATAAACTAAAAGGTGACTGACTGACTGGCTGACATAGTGATCTATCAACGCACAGCCCAAACCACTTTACCAAACCACTTTACGGATCGGGGTGAAAGGCATGCAGGTAGATGTTATGAAGTAGGCATCCGATAAGAAAGGATTTTATGAAACTCCACCCCTAAGGGGTAAAACGGGATCCACGCGTATGAAGTCGCGGGCGGCCACTAGTATTTAGATAAGTTTCTAAAGGTCTCATTCATTTGTATTTTAATTTATAATGTTAGTTGCTATAGGTAATAAGTATAGTGCATAATTGAGACAGTATAATGTATGGGAGGGGTGACATTGTCATTTATGACGTGACAGTGCTTACAAATCTGAAGGAAATCTGAAGTCTTACTTACTAAAAAAACCCTCCCGTGCCGCTCCCATGCTCAGTAGGCTGATTTACACCTATTTCAAGTATTTAAGTAGATAACTAAATTTAACTTAATTTTAAGTGATTGAAAGTTAATTTCTAAGGTCTTTAAGTTTGTTATTATGTTTAAGGTTATCCTAATCATTTAGTGATGTTCAATAAATTTACAATGAAGTTTGTGTTAAATACTATATTTAACCCTGAATAACCTTAGCTTAAGCCATTGAACTTGAACTGTCGTTTCTACGGATTCGGATCGTATGTAGTGCGCCAGCTCTGTTTCCTGAATACATTTCAGCTGGATCCAATGTTCCAAGTTCGAATTTTCAAATATTGAAAAAAACTTTTAAAACCATCCATCTGCTCGTTTGCCTCCTGCCTGTCCCATAAAAAAACCAAACCTGTAAAACGCGGAAAAAAAACATTTTGATCCGATGGCTTAGTAATAAAATTATATGAAAGGTTGCAAACCTTTCATATAATTTTGGTCAATATCATATCTCGAACTCTGTTTTAATAGACAACTAGGCCCGGTTTTTAACCATTAGTTAACATTTTGTTAATATTTAACCATTAGTAGCAAAATTTAACAATTTGTTATTTTAACTTTGAATAAAAAAACTGGGCCTTAGGTATAAAGAACATATTTGTATAGTTTAATATTCTAAACTTCTTTCTTTCCATTCGAAACTCTTTAATTAATTTATGTTACAATTTTTGCTACACAAGAATATGTAGCTAATAAGAACAAACAGATTTTATAAAGTTAAAAAAACTATGTTGCCATTCTCTACATTCCAGGCTCGTGTATGCTTTCACATAGAAATAATGAATTTGAACTCTCAACTTTTTGCGTCGAATATTTCAGATTGTGCCTCTAGCACTGGCCGGCGTAAATACCAAGAACAAATAACAAGCGGAGGAAATTTTGAAGTAGCTCTCAAAAATTCCTTACTCTCCCTTCGAGCATTGGGAGCTTTTATAGAAGAGGGCTTTCTACAAGTTCGACTACCTAGTACCGCTTCCGACTTCTGAATCTGAAAGTTTCTGATCGATTGGAGAGGATTTGAATGTCGATTTTGTTAAGGCCGGGTAACAGAGAAAATGGCGAAAATGAGGTTTTCATTTTTCATTTTTGAGGTACTAAACAGTAAAATAAAAGGCTAAGATTTTTTTTGGGCATAGTTGAGGATATTTTCTAGGGCTATTAACGGATGGAAACACGATTTGATGAAGTTGANGAAGAAATACCAAGCCTTAACTAATGTTATGGATTATTGAAAAACAATAGTCTGGTTTGGAATATTAGGTCACCTATTTTTAGAACAGCTTAAAGTAAGTTATAGGAAATTCAGTACCTATGGCTATGCTAAGAAGGTTTAGAATTTATTAGAATAAAATTTTCAATAAAATATTTATATTAGAGGCCTCTTGGTTACAGTGAACAAAAAGTGAAAACTCCCATTACACTGCCTTTTTCGCTGTCTTCAATACTTAATAACCTAACAGTTAAAATAATTTCAACCTATTTAGTTACATTGACCTATAAGTAAACAAACATTTTCAAATACGTACTATTTGATATCAGAATGCAAATAAAAGAATTGATTGTGCTGTGTGTGTGTCTTATCGCGTCAAAGTCGATGCAGGAGCTCGACATACATCTTGTGACAATATAAATACTCATTACCACGATTAAACATTGATAACGTTATTAAATTAACTATACAGGCTGTTGCAATTTTAAAGTAGCTTTTGTCATTTTTCGAGATGATGAGATAACAATTTTCAAGTATTCAATTTTACATGCAGTAAAATAATTACGTGCAAAAAAATTTTGAACGAAACGATTTTCGAACTAAAACTGTTTGTACCAAATGCAAATTTGTCTAGCTCCTTTGAATAATATTCAGTCTCCAAAAATCATAAACAAATTAGTACAACTGACAGCACATCACAATATTATTGTACTAAAGGAACACATCTTAGCTCAAAGTTTCAATCTCAAATAATATTTTCGATTAATCGATTAATAAATCGTTTATACAACAGCCTTTACGTACTTCACAGCTGTAAACAAAGACTTCCAACAATATTCCATTGAATTAGGTTATCATTTACATTAAAAGAACTTCTAGAATAGCGTTTCAGACTTAATAGGTGATACAGCATATTTACAAATAAATAAAACAATATTTTATGTGAACAAGCTGTATAAAAATAAAAATGATTGATCATTCTAGAGATGAATTATAAGACTACGCACAATTTAGTCCTTCATTAGTTTTCTAAGAGACAGCAGCTTTTGAAATGTCTGCTCAGGAAAAACAACCAGAGGAACAGCCGCTTAGTGCTAAAGAAGTAAAAGAGGATTTTGAGAAGAAGACCTTCTTTGAAAAACTATGGAAACTCAAATCGAGTATAACAGTGGAGCCTATACTAGCTGGGATAGTCATCCCCTCAATGCTCTCAAAATTGGCAGTACAAAATTTGAATCTGGATAAAGCGTGTCGTGTAAAACAAATGTATGGTGACTTGATATGCGATGCCCTAATAGATAAAACCGGGAACTACTCATATGAAGAAAGAGAGATCCAAAAAGTGATTTCTGGCATCGAAGCGTGGAAAAGTGTAATTCAGACAGCAATACCGACTATTTTAGTAATTTTTATGGGAGCATGGAGTGACAGGACTGGGAATCGGAAAGTTTGTATTCTTCTGCCTTTGTTCGGAGAGTTGTTAGTCAGTATAAGCAACATGGTGAGCGTCTACTTCTTTTACGAAATTTCTGTTGAAGTGACTATGTTCTTTGAAGGGTTCTTCCAAGCCATCACTGGAGGAAGTGTCATGATATATTTGGGAGTTTTCAGCTACATCAGTGATATTACCACAGAGGAGACCAGAACTTTTAGAGTGGGTCTGGTAAATTTGTGTATGACTGCAGGAGTTCCTATAGGAACGGCTTTGAGTGGGGTGCTTCTAAAATGGTGGGGGTATTATGGGATTTTTACAGCAACTGGATCTATTCTCCTGCTCATCATTGTATATGCCATTTGTTGTTTGGACAGTAACACTAAGCCCAAAGTGGACAATGATGAAAAGGTAATTATTTGTACTTAATATATTTCATAATGTTATCTCAAGCCACATGATTGTTACCAATATTAAATTGATGAAACCATAAAAGTGCATGTTGGCTTGTTTCAAAGTGAAAGCGTTCATGACGTAGACATCTATTTCACAATAATTTGTAATATGACGAACAAAGTATTAGGCCCAGTTTTTTGATTCGTAGTTATAATAACTAATTGTCTTTGCTACTAATAGTTAAATAATAACAAAATGTAAACTAATAGTTAAAAAAATTACTTTTATACTTGACTCTTAAGTCAAGATAATTATTGTACGAAAAACATTTTTTTCTATTAATTAACCACTTGTCATTTGGCATCTGTCAAATTTGACTAATTGGTTTAACTACGAATCAAAATCTTGGCCCTAGGTAAACAGATACATGGATAGCCTAAGCTGACTGTATGATTATACTTGCAATTTCAGGTAAAGCCTGCCTCGATCTCAAATGTAGCATCAATGGTCAAGGAAACAGTATTAATGGCGTTTAAAAAACGAGAAGGAAACTTTAGGGCCAAGATTATACTCACTTTGACAGTAGTAATGATCATTTATGGACCAAACCACGGTATGTGTTTTTTATTAAATAATCCTTTTGTTCGGTGAAAATGTTATATGCCATTATTATTACTAGCGGCTGCTCGCGACATCGTACGCGTGGATCCCATATTATCACCTTAGGGGTTGAATTTTGCAAAATCCCGTTTGAGTGAGCACCTACGTTCTAACAGGAATCCCCATGCAAAATTTGAGACTCCTTGCACTTGTAGTTTTTGAGATTTCGTGATGATTCAGTGAGTCAGTCAGTCAGTGACCTTTTACTTTTATGTGTGGAAACTTATCCTCATTATTTTTTTATTATATTTATTTATTTAATTTAATAATCATACAACTAGCATTACAGGTTTTTCCAATGCGATAGTGTAAACTAAGACTGCTAAGACTAAGGCCCGATTCGACCAAACTTTTATCCGCGAATAACTCGTGGTATAGCTGGCACATTGACAGTTTCAGTATCTATGGGAAATATGTCAAAACTGACGATTTATTCCGAGATTTAGAGTAAGCGCACACCGTTGATTTTTCATCGGCCGATAGTTTAGTCGGGCAGTATGGGAGTGCGCACACTACGCCGATTCGATTTGGCCGATTCTTCATACAATTTAAAATCGGGCACAACTATCGGCCAACTAAAAATCAACGGTGCGCCTACTCTATTATTTACTCTTGTTTGGTCGAATCAACCCTAGGTGGATGTGTAAATTAGCGTTATCACTAAAATAGCATAGAACCTCCTAAGCACTCAGAACTTGTAAATAAAAGCCTGGGCAGCAAATACGTATAAAATAATAATAATAATATACAAAACATAGTTCATACATAGTTTAGCTTGTCCAAACTTAAAAGTAAAGGCCATTAAGGATAGGTATACAGTTTTGCCTTAAAAAGTTTTACATAAATAAACAAACTTGAATTATATTTTTCAGGTGAAAGACTTATAGTTTACATGTTCGTGAGGTACCGCTTACAATGGGATGCAATCAAATACAGCATGTACTCTACTTTCAATCTTATCACACATTCTATAGGTAATTTTGTCGATGTATAAAGCAATTGCTAATTTCATAAAGATAATTTCATTGGCATTTTACACAAAAAACATTTATGCAATGTTTGTGATAGTTATACAGGGTGGAATTTTGTAATGGTCTATTTCTTTTCAAAAATAAAGGAGTGTTTTCCAAAGAAAGAATTTTTACTCAAAAGTAAAAATTTCTATCTACAGTATTAATAGTACTTTCCCGCCAGATGGCATTACAAAATTCCACCCTGTATAGTGTATAGTAGTACTACAAAGATAGTAAGTATACATATAATATTGTGCACAAATGTTCCTAAATTCATACAACTCCAACATTTTAAAATAGCATTGGTACCAATGTTGGGACAAGCTATTTTCTAGATCCACACGTTGGACGAGTGGTGTTAGAGCCAACGTGTGGAGACGGCATAAAGGTTGCATACTGCTAAACTCCTTGACCGCGCTACTGGCCGGCAAAAACTTATTTTTAATTTAATGTGTTCTTTTCGACTGTCATTTGTTTTTTCTCTCAACATTATTTTTTTAAACTACGCGCGGACTGACTATTTTAATGTGAATTAACACTTAAAGGTAACTATTATAAAATTTTTACACAAATTAACT